TTTTTTTTATATTATTGGGTTGGTTGTTGTAAATCAAAACTTCAATATAAAATACAGATTTCTTGGTGTTGGGTTGCCTGGTTTGCTAATTATGAAGTGTATCATTCGAATGAAATCCTAATGTTTTTTTTTATTGATGACAGAATCTAAGAAAAGCCATATTTGCTATTTCTAGTAGATTATCTGGAACATATAAATGGAAAGTAGGCTACAAAAAAGTTATTTGAATATACATTTGATACTTTGGTTTTGCAAAGACTTCAGTGGAAGTAATTGTTTTCTTACAGATACAAATCAAAACTTGTGGTTCAACAATTATTTTCCTTTGTTAATTTCCAGTGGAACTGAAGGCATATACTATTCGTATAGACAATTTCATCAAATTAAATTCATAATAAAAAGTCTGCATATTGATGACTTCACTATAACAATTTATTTTATGATTTTCGTTATATGTTCATTACTTCAATCTTACATAATAAATAATTGAAAAACATACCTTTTTTCGTCAATTGGAAATCAAAAAAAATGAATGCCGACATCACCCTGCAAATTATAGCAACCCACAGCTTGACACTTGCTCATTTTGAAACTAGACACAAATTTTTCACCAATACAAAACCACCACTTACAACGACTCAATCTGTAATAATATTCCATGCCTCAATTTGGCTCGCTTGGTAAACGCCTCAGATTCAGTCGGTTGCGCTGTACTTCGACCGCCCATAAAATTCGAGGTGGGGAATCTTGACCCAAATATGGCGAAGAGTGAACTTACTGGTGTTTACTTATATTCTGTGTCCAGATGTAAGAGTTCTTAAGGTGTCTTAGGTCCGTCGCGTATTTCTGATATGTGCCACACTTGGTGAAATTGAATATGCCAAGTCACTTGAGCACTTCCTGTGAAAGTATCTATAGAAGAGAGACAAATCAAGTTTGCACGTGATGTTCGTGTCTCCAATCAGGCGGATGGCTCTTTTCTTGATGGAATCCAGCAACTTCAGGGTATGTTTGGGGGCAGAGCTCCACACATAAGAAATACCCTGATGAAAAGTAATTTTTGGCATTGTGGATTCTAGTGTGGAAGTAGTGAGTGGTGCCTTTCCCAGGAAATCGACTGTGTAGTGGGACGCAAATTGAAGCTAGTAGATTTGCTTTTTCTTCGGCTGTTGTGGCAATTGAACCATCCGCTTATGTTAGTGGTGGAATTGTGTATTTTGTAAAGTTCTGATTAACAGCTTCAGCTATCGATCAAGAAGGATCTAGACCCCTTGGGATTGGCAAACAGTTTATCCCTAATTCTCTGATTGTGGAGTTCTTTGCTTTCATTTATCCTAAGTTTGCAGCTGTTGCGAGCATTAACAAACCTAGTTCGGTTTTCAGCATTGGGATTTTTACGTTACTGCCGGTAGGCAAGATTTTTGGAGGCGACAGACAACTTGCTTGCAATTTTCGTTGAACCAAGGTTTGCCGTTAGAAGGTCGTTTCATTGAAAGAGGAATATATGCATCCATGGATGATAGAATAACTTCCGTGACTTCAGAAGCACAAAAGTTGATGGAGCTTCAGAGCTGAAACAAACATCTAGCCAGGGGAAATTCAGAAAATGGTCTTGAAGATCCTACCATTCAACTGATCTGCAATGCCAAACTTTGCGCGTCTTAGATTGTTCCCCAACATTTATCTCAACACTGAAATGCGTTTGACTGTGTAAATTTCTGAATTGGTTGTTAGGTATAGATCCAGAAGACTAGCATATTCTCCATCACGGTCAGGAATCTTGGTTGGCTCATTTAAAATCTAAGTCCGCTGCTTATTACAAAAGCCTCAGCTTCGCGACCTTGTTCGTCGTTGATATTTGAAAATATGAGCCATTCGATATTGTGGACATTGAAGTCACCGAACATGGAAATTTAGGCACAGGAATGATTGATTTGCAGAAAGTCGTTGGTGTTTACAAGTGAAGAGAATAGTGCCCTGCATTGTGTATTGCTAGATGGTCGATAAACGCAGCATATGAATCTTGTGTGATATCATTTTGAACCACATAACGTTGACAGGAGAGATCGCTTCTGATAAAAAGAGATATTCCAAAGTTACGTCTAAATCGGGAGTGGAAATCATAGCCGGCTTATAGAAAATTGACGGGGTTTGTTGATTGAATGAATAATGATATTTACCTGATGGAAAGTAAATCCTTCTGGACAAATCCAGGAATGTTTCGCGTTGGCTTGACAATAGTGGAATACTTCGCAACCTAGTTCCTCATCGGCATAATAACCTGTATTTTTTCCATTACATTGGAATCTAGACTGTGGAAGTAGTTGACTCAATCTATCTGGTTCTTCCTCTTCTTTCTCTTCTTCCAATTTGTTAGCCTACGAAAAAATAATATATTATTTATGTATCCGAACAGACTTCCGTAGGTACCGACATTTATATCTAGTGCTTTCACCAAAATTTAGAAAGAATACGAAAAATAAGTATTTTTACAATAAATAATATGCACATTTTACATAGTATATATAATATAGTAATCGGTTAATCAAAATATATTATTATGAGCTTCATTTTCAAATTTCAGGTCTGCATCAATGGAAAGACTAAGCATCAAGTCAAGATTCGCACTTTCAACATTTCGATAAGAAAAGATAAAATATAAATTTCAATAAAGATTACTACTAATTTTACAAGATGATATTCAAATCACATTTTTTCTGTAGGTACCTACTTCTGTTTATAAATTGTGATCATAAAAACACAATTTGCTGGCATTCCGCCTTTTCTCTGTAGAATATTTATTGTTATAAATATGTAAAAAATACATACTTGCGCTTCCTATTCAACCAAATATTTTTGAACTGTCTTCAGTTTTAAGACCTTTCATTTTAATTATTGTTATTTTTTTAATTTTCTTGGATATATCATTTTTGATTAGAAAATAATTAGCGACCCAATCTGGCTTTCTACAGATAGCAGAATATACAGGGGCTGGGAGTTCTGACCAAAATATTCAAGAGAATTCCTCAACATTCCAGAACATTATTCAACATTTTGGATTATGGTGGAACTTTCAGGAACATCCCGGAATATCTCAGATCATTATGGAGCAATCAAGTTATTATAATGTTTTGAAATGTTTGGGAATAGTCTGGAATGTGCCGGAATATGCCTAGGTCATTGTGGAACTTTCCAGAACAGTTTCGAATGCTGTCTTTTGTATGGGTGAATCTACACATTACACAAGGATAACTTTCATTTCTTGACGTTTTGATAATGAGAAGTCAATGTGGAAAGCTAGAAAACGATGTATTTAGGAAGGAAATGAGCACTTACAGTTATATTCCCGATAGTCCACATCACTGTGGACAGCACAAACGTGGTAGGTAGAATGTTCTAGTGCATCATCTTTTGAAGTTTCCTCTCACATATGGGAGGTTTACAAAAGAAAAAGTGACAATACAGGAAACAACATTCAGTAACGGTTTCTCGAGGGTTATTGTAGATGATAGATTTCCCTGACTAGTGTATAAGGCAACATTGTGAAATTAATTTTAGGGCAATTAAGACGCAGGTACCTGCAAGAGGTATCTATGGTATAAATAAGGACAACATGGCATGTAGATTTGGTTCAATCTTCCTCTTGAAGATGATCACTTGGTGATTGAAACACGTGTCGAGGTTTTAAGGTAACGGTTTGGTGTTGGGAAAAAACTCCAATAATATTCATTACAACACCAAAGTTCCAAACAGTGCATCACAAAAGCAGAATCCATCAACCTCGTACAATTTGAAATTCATCCTTTTATTCCAACTACCATATAATCTCATATCAACTCCGTGAGAGAAGCCGGGTACCCCTGCCAATAACTGATCACTGTCATTTGATGAAATTCACTAAAACCATACCCCTTTCAATTTAAGCATATAAACCTGTCTTTTGAATCGCTCAGTCTATTGGTGGAGTTTTTGAGTTTAATACGTTGAAATAAATGGATGGACTGACAGACACGGTGAGGGACTCTAATGCTTCCAACTATTCCCAATTGCTTTTCAAATACACTGTTCAATAGGAATTTTCTAGTATATTATAAATAGCGTAACAACAGGTTGAATCAATCGTATATTCTATATGCAAAATTTAATGCCAAAAAATTGGGGTCACCACGCAAACAAACAATATTTGTGCTTTCTTTGGGATGGCATGTAGACAAAATATGTTTACCATGGGTGGGGTGTCACACGTGGAGATAAGAGTTCTTCTGAGCCCACTCAGTGTCACTAACGGACCTTCGAGATACCGGACACCTTCCTTCATAGAAAACCTCGTCACAGTAATGCGGAGTTCTTTCCTTAGCTTCTCGTGGGCTCTTTCATGGGCTATGAAATAACCATGAAATTAGACTTTGATTCTATAGAAGAAATGGACGTCGCCGTCGATTAAACAATCTCAACTGTCATTCCTGTAATATTGGATCAAGAACAAGAATTTTTCAGATCTTCAACCGCTGCTCCTGTCAATAAACCTAGGAAGCCAGGTGGTGCTGTCAAGAATCCACTTATCACCTTGTCTAGAGCATGATATCAGCCGTTCACCAAATTCTTGAACAGCCGAAGCAGAATCTGCATTAGGAGAGTAAACAAACTCAATCCTCAGGCAGGTAAGCCAATGCTTACGCTCAAACAATAATTCACCGAATCCAGAGACGAAAAAGCCTTGCATGGCTAAATCGTCAGTCACAGCTAAGTTACAGGTTGCTGGGAAGGTTTCTGTGATCATTTAGGTGGAAATCTGGCACCTGGGACAACCAATAACCCCAATATTAACCAATGAACTAGAATAGCCCTCATGGCTGCCGAAAGATGGTCCACAAGTACGATTCCAGAGCTGCACATTCCTTGTCTGAATGGTTATAGGATCAGGTGAGCATCTCCTAGCAGGTATAAGCAGTTATTACCCGCAGCCGTGGTAAGACATCATAGGAAACATACTTCCCAAGCCGATCATTGGTATTGCTTACCCTTTGATGAAGGTAGCCGCAGACTGACCGCTAATCAGGTCTCCACTAGTTTGAGAAACATATATTATGGTCTATCAACCAAGCTAACAAATGAAGTAATCAATTGGCTTTGTTAAGAAGCCGTATTTAATTGGTCGAGTTCCAATAGTTATGAGCTAAAATTGCAGTGGAGGGTCCAATAGACTCACTCACTTTAGTCCTACCCTACCCCTAAGCGAAGTCAACCCAGTCTGTCAACCCAGCCATATGAATTCACTTTGTGTATATACATTCTAACAATTAGAACCGATTTGGAAGAAAAGCGCATCACAAGCTTTCGAATTAGGTATCAATTTGTAATAAAAAATTACTCACCTCTAACTCTTCCCCACGGGTATATTGTTGCTGTTGAAGTCTCCTATCATATTTTGGAGTAGCTGCAACATAGCCAGCCTTGCTTACAGCGGCTCTTACTGGAATGGGGTAATTTAAATTTGGCTGTACAGTTGCCCTTACTGGTATCGGATAATTCTGGTTAACGTAAGTTGGAACTCTATCTTGGCTGGATTCTGCCTCGCTGGAATGAGAAATACAAATGACTTTCTTCGAACAAAAGAAATTATACGAGTATTAATATTTGTTTAGATTACGCCCGTATATTATTGAAGAACATTTAATATCTGTTTCAAAGTGGTTGACAATGTTGAGTGAAAAACCCAGAAATGAAATTACGGTAAAATAAAAATAACCGGAAAACGGTAAATTCTCGCCAAACGGCCATCTCATGCTAAACCGGTGAAGCGGAGAGAGGGAAGAGGGAATGCGTGAAAGCACTCGAATAACCAATAAATAGTCATCTCTGGGAGGAATACTCCCATCATCACCCGAAGACGATTGTGGATACTAATCGAAACGTCGTGAAGTAATTTTGATTTTTATTTCTTTTCAATTGTTCAATTTTTTGCTTATTTTTATTTTACTGTAATGTCATTTCAGGGTTTTTTACTCAATATAATTGTTATTTTCAGCTATTTTTCCAATTCTCAATTTTATTCTTTCAGGGTTTCCAAATCATATTATATCATATTAGACAATGGCAGTCCGAAATAATGAAATTCAATATTCAATATTGTTACGTCTCTGAGTTCGTAAAGGGGTAAACTTTCGAAACTTCTTTTATTCTTGATTATTCGACCACCCGTGGAAAATGCAACCAGAGTGAAATATATTGGAAACTGACTGAATTATTGAAAGTTGATAAAAGTTATTGGACAAAACACTCATTCTCATCTCATCTCATCTCATTTCAAATCGTCTCATAATACGGAGTAGTCAATTGCAGAGAGGGACGACACTTGGTTGCACAAAACCACACCTAGGTAAGTAGCAATTTTCTATATTTTAGGAACGCCTTTTTTTTAGTATTCAAGCTTGAACTAGCTACATGTGGGTGGCTACTTGATATATAGATATATAGATATATAGAACAGGATCCTGTGGCGTGTAATGAATCCAACAAAAACAATTTTCACACACATACAGTACTAATTATTGTGTTACTTTTTTATTGTATGTCAATACCCAGTTGTTATAAAATAAAGCATGTACAATTCTCAGTGTAATATATTAATAATATAGTAATATATATTATTGCTCTGAGGTACAATTCTAACGAAAGCGTCATCTATGGTATCGACGAAAAAGTCGAAAAATTTTGTAAACTTAAACTTCTACATCGACTATCGAAAGCGCTTGTCTTTCTTATTTGACGTTCGATGTCGCTACTTGGCTTTGCAACAGACCGCCATTCATCTTGGATAATTAAGGATTACTGTTCTGTCGATACCACTGACTACCCTGTTCGAAATCAAGATGGCTGTCGAGAGATACCATTGACATATTTTCCGTTAAGGAACATTTTTAAGCTGACTTTTACTCAGGATTGTATGTCAGGTCGAAAAAGTTCTGTTTGGAATTGGATTACAAATGCTTAGTTTTTGGTTATTATTTCATCTATAATTGTTATACTTACGAAAGATTGGATTTGTTGTACGCAGATGTATATGAAAGAAAAATTGGATTGGAAAAATATGCCCCAACCGACATTTCTATGAGATGTATGTTATAGGTTTTTGGCTTTCACCTCTCTATCTTCATCAATTTAAACAAGACTGATGGTAAAAAATCAAGTGAGCGTATGAATGGGTTTATGTTACTGTCATCGTAACATGAGTAGATTTTTCTCATCCGTGACATAAATTCGTAATGTTATGAATGGAATGGGTTCTTCATCTTGTAATAATATCCAGATAAGTACGGATGAGAACAAATGTCATTCCGAAACTTCGAAGCTTCAAGGATGACAGAGTTCCATGTAAGTGAAACTTACAGCCGTTGACAGAGTTCCATGTAAGTGAAACTTACATGGAACATAACATCAATCTTTCATGTACTGTATTGTGCAGTATTTCATCTATAATTGTTATACTTACGAAAGATTGGATTTGTTGTATGCAGATGTATATGAAAGAAAAATTGAATTGGAAAAATGTGCCCCAACCGACATTTCAATGTGTGTTATAGGTTTTTGGCTTTCACTTCTCTATCTTCACCAATTTAAACAAGACTGATGCTAAAAAATCAAGTGAGCGTATGAATGGGTTTATGTTACTGTCATCGTAACATGAGTAGATTTTTCTCATCCGTGACATACATTCGTAATGTTATGAATGAAATGGGTTCTTCATCTTATAATAATATCCAGATAAGTACGGATGAGGACAAATGTCATTCCGAAACTTTGAAGCCTCAAAGATGACAGAGTTCCATGTAAGTGAAACTTACATTGTCATAACTAATGTTTGGAGTGTGAACTGAATAGGAAAAAGTGATTTTCGTATAATTCTATGTTCATATAAAAATAGTTGTTTCGAAAGTAATTTTCTTTCTTGCAACTCAGTGTTCACATTAAAATTGTTGTTTTGGGGAACTTTCCCATCCAGTTTGTCTGAAAATAACTTTTATGCATGATAATCAATTCCCCTTTGGATTCTCTTATCATAACAAATTAATCTTCAGATATAAGAAGAGAGAACGTATAACTAATGTATTCAAAAAACACTTCATTGTTAGATTTTCACTAAACGATTTCACAAAAACGCAAAACGTATTTCGCCATACAATGGCTTCTTTGGGAGTGTCTTTACTAACTAATTCTACATATTCAATGCTTAATATACCTTATTTCACAATTCGAAGTTCCTACATTTCAAGTACCTGATTTTTACCTAAGTTTGTAATGAATTGAATTACCTGAGCTTTTGTCCCAGTTTTCACTTTTGAAAAAATATTTAGTAACCAGAAGTTATTCAATTTTAATTGACCATTTAGTGAGTCCGAATCTATTGATTTCTAAACAGTCTAGAAGAGTGTTTCAAACTCTTCTCTTCTAAATGTAACACGTCGTACTCATGATTGAACTCATGTCCTTCTGCTAAAACTATATAAGCTGAGTATATAAGCTGACTTGTGGCTCTTGCCCAAAACTTTATATTGACCAAACAGGGAGAACATTTTTCCAAAGAATCAAATAGCATAGAAATAGTTTCTTAAACAAAAAGACCAATTCCACATTTGAAAACCACTTTTTAGTAGAAGGACATGAGTTCAATAAGGAATTCGATGTGTTAGCGAAATAAATATGAAAAAATAAATACAGATTGGTTTCTGTAGTACCTATTACTACATTGTAAGAAATACCTAAACTCACCTATCGATATCGTCGTCATACAATTCATCATCTTCTTCCCTATAGGCTACTGTTGGAACAAACGTTCTTTTCGTCGAACCAAAACCCCTGTTCTGAAGATGACTTATCTGCTGTTGAGACAGCTGCGTGTATCCTGGGATTTGGGTAGGCTCTGGCAAACAACTTACTGTGGCTAACACGAAGCAGCATATCGTTAAAGGTATATTCATTCTGTGGGAAGAAGAAAATAGAGTAAGCAATGAAATGTAGAAAATACTGCATATTGAAAATGATTGAATTAATCGTCGACCTTAATTTGTTCAATCTATCCTCAAGGTATTCGGAATAAAGAATATAAACAACACAAACAATGATATGCAATAGCGGCAGTGTCTAGACTGTGGATGGATGACGAATGTACCACATTCTTGATCACGCTTGGGATCGCAAGTTGGAACCCAAGATTCCCTTCTTTCGTAGTAGTATATCTGTTGTAGTAGTATATCTGTTGTATAAGTATTTCGGAGGATTTTGAGATTTTAAGTAGTTCAATAGCTGATTTTAAAATAATTTCAATTGCATAAAACAATTTACCAGTTTTTGGTGTACCTTCATAGACACGTACTGTTCAAAAACACACATCATCGTATTCTTTATTATTAGCGAATCTGACAATACAACTTTGTTTTTCTAATCCAAAATATGTTAACATCCACTTATTACGATACTTAGTATTAGGAAGTACGTGAGATGCTTTGGTTACCTCACGTACTAAGTAAGTATGAAAAAGAAACTAGTAATCACTATTATGTAGTACTATGGAATTTGCCGCGATGGTAGTGCGCCCGACTCACGATCGGAAGACCGTGGGTTCGATTCCTGCCTTGACCAGATATTTTTCTGGAGAGAATTTAGCTCGCACAAGTTTCTCAACTTCTGAGAGTTGTCGTTCGTATGGGGGCGACAGTTGATTAACGGTAAAACAGATTTTAAACAGATTAAACAGATATATGCGGGTTGGCTGTCCTTGTTGATCTTTCACTGCCTGAACCACTGTGCATGCTGTTTTTGGCAAGTGCATTGGCTTGGGATGTGGGGGTTGAGCAAACCTAACTATATGGAAAGTTGAGTACGTAGAAAATACTAGGAGTAATCAAAAAATATCAAGTGAAACAACTCAAGAAAAGACATATCTATTAACATTTGATTCTTAGGGGTTTTTGAGACATAAATTATGAATCGATGATTATTTGACGAATGTAACTGGCACTTGAAAACTCAAAATACTGTTAGTACACCTTTCAATGTATGAATACCCTCAGAGTTGATTATTGAATTGTTTCATCGCGGACGGCTTTATAAAAAATATTGACTTGTTGTTTGTAGGGGTGCGACAATTGATTAACGGAAAAACATATTTTTAACATCTTTTCCTCATCTCAATTGTCAGTTTGTTATTTGTATCAGTCTCTTGTCACATCGTCACATAATTATTATAACTTATTAACTCGAATGAAATGAAACAGTACCTAACTATAGACTATATATAGTAAGGAAGGGTGTGAATAAATAATCAGTGTAATAACTATTGATGGATTAGTTTTTAATCTATTCTCCATTCGAAATAGTATTTTTTTGGTGAAACCAAAAAATTACTAATAACCTCCCTCGTCTCTCTCAGCTTATTTCCTATTGAAACTTTTAAGCCCCGCATGGTTCGCGAAAACCAATAATATTCAGATATATGCACCGTTTTTCAAACCTTTTATATTTATAATATCATTTGTGAACGGCCTTGAGATCGTGATATGAAATTTGAAGATTTCGTAGGAATTATTGACACGACAATAATTGAATGACTTTACTAAATTCTGGAAACTATATGGCCTGATGAAAACACATAAAGAGGCTAAACCCATAAGACCGGTAGTTTCGTATATAAATAGTCCGGTAAGAGAACTAGGAATACCTCTTAACAAGTTGTTCAAAAATATTACCAATTTCGTCCCGCCTCACAGCATTAAAAATTCACTGACTTTAGTAAAAAACATACGGAACCAAACCACGCCTAATAATTCAATTTTAGTTTCATTCGATGTAAAGTGTATGTTCTCCAACATACCGTACAACGAGTGTAAGCCACTCATTTTGGATATATAAGATCAAGCCATATTGACCATATCACTTCCTTTGTAGTTCCAACAGCTTTCGACGTGTGCCTAAATCAGAGCTACTTACAGTTCAACAACAAATTTTATAAACAGGATTCAGGTTTACCAATGGGTTCATACCTTAGTCCACTTTTAGCAGACATATTTATGAACAACTTGGAGACCACTATAGTAAATTCCGATGTGGGTAAAAAACGTATTCATTTTTGGTACAGATATGTAGACGATATTCTCGCCTATTTCAACTAGAGGTACTACACGACAGCTGAACCAGTTTATGATATTCAGGAATAATCTCAATAGCAACATTCAGTTCACACTCGAAACAGAGATAGAGAAACAGATAAATTTCTTAGACTTGGCCCTTACACACAATCAGAATAAATTTGAGTTCAATATTTTCAGAAAACCTAGCTGTACAGGCATTACCATCCCAAGAGATTCTTTCCATCCATACAGTCATAAATTAGCAGCCTACAATTCAATGTTGCACAGAGCATTCTCACTGCCTCTGCCTGCTAACAATCTGGCTAGGGAAATTGATATAATTACACAGGTAGATCATAATAATGGTTTCAACGCAGATACTTATAAACTCCAGATTTCTCCAACTTGTCCACTTTATCTTTGGCATTGAAAAAGAAATCAGATAACCTGGCATGTAGTCTGAAGGCCACTTAAACATTGTTTTTTCTCAAGTGGTCTTCAGTCCACATGCCAGGTTATCTGATTTCCTTTTCAATGCCAAAGATAAAGTGTACAAGTTGGAGAAATCTGGCGTTTATCTAAACGAATCTAAACGATACGGAAATTTTGCACTATGCAAGGAAGGGTTGCGAGTTCAATTATTTAGAATCCTTCGAAATTCACAAGAATAAACATTGCGGGTGCAACCTGTTAAATGATCAAATTGATTTAGTTTACTCACCGGTTTTCAAATAAGCATATCCGCATTGTAACTAGTAAACGAAATTCAGGTACTCAATCAAGCCAAGTGCCTCTATTATTACCTACAGGAGGGCTCATGTAATCAACCATTCTCCTTATAGTTACAAATGAAAGTAGTAAAAAATATTGAGAGGTTTTAATTCCCTTTTTTCATTAATTTCTGGAAGTTTTTACTATTTTTTCTGTTACAAATGCAGTATCCTATTCTTCAAATAAAATTGGTGCTGATGTGTACATGAAGACCATCTAAAACAGTGGATATTGAAATCAATTCAATTTACGATAGAAAATCGATGTTATTTTTTGTCAAATATTTCAAAAAAATTCACAAAATTTGCCGAAATGTATAATCATCAAACCCGGAGATCTTCAAATGCCAATTATAAAAAAATATATTTCCTATTATATTCCTCGCGATTCGTAAAAAAACGACATTGAAAATATGATGATAATTATATAGGTGGAGTTAAATTAATTTTGTGTGTCGAATTAAATAGTATTCGAATACAATCAAAGTTCAAGAATTATCTACAAATTCTACCTATAGTGGTAGGACCAGAAGTGAAAAAAAAAACATCAAAGACAATCCATGGTAATTCTATTTACATTTGTTCACAAGAAGGATTTGAAGCTTTAATAACTTTTACTTATTATATGCGAGCGCTTTCGATAGCAGGCTGTGCTATCATCTTCATGGCTCTACTCAAACTGCAGTTTGAGTAATTTGAGTATATCTGATTTCTATTTTGGTCTCAAAAATGTTCCAAGCAGAGATAGAGAGTTGAATAACTGTCAACTTTTATATTTGAGTATGACGGTTACTTATATAAATAAACTTTTCAATAAAGAGTTCAGCAGCCTGAATGTCATGATGTGACGTTTTGCAAAAAAAAGTCGAATACTCAGTAGAACCAATTAAGTACATAAATTCTATCAAGGTGACTGACACCCTGCTGTTGGAACACCTTATTAGAATCAAAGAACATTATTCGTACTACTCACACCATCGCAACCTCTTACTCATCTGGTAACCCTAAACACGTATCTATGTTGTGTCACTTTATTGGGTGTTCGATATATTCGATAAATTGTCTCCTTCATTTATATCAAGACACTCAATAATCTTTAGCTGCCTATAGCTATCTGGTAGTTTTCTTTTGAACACAAGGTCTATTCACTGAAACCACAAATGTGCGGCTAGCTTCTGCTGATGGCTCCGTGTATTTGTACTTCTTCTGACAACCAAGTGTTGCCCATCGTTGCACTTGGCTTCACCATACTGATGATGGACCAAAAACACGAAACACGTGACTATGATTTGCCACTTTCTTGAGTGCGTCTGTCCGATAAAGAATATCCTTAATAATCGGATAGGTTCCCAAGGTCAGCAATTTGGTGTTTTCATCTGTTCGACGTTTAAGCTTCTGCTTTGAAGCCATTTTCAAGAACCAATTGAAACTGAAGTTACTTGATTTGACGACGAGGTCGTAATCTAAATGACCCGCAAATCTCTTCACTGGCTTTGTTCTTGTTTTGTTCAGTTCCAAGAGGACACTTAGAACTGTGGGTTGCTCGTGCGTGGATTGTGAATGTTCAAATTTCGCGGGCTAAGTACATTCCATCAGCAATTTTTTTATTTTTTTATATTGGTACACTCGTTTCGAATAATGTTCACAGTTTCAGCTATTTCAACATATTCAGATAGTAGGCGAGAAGCATAAAAGATAAGTGTTTTGCGCGTTCGACGATTTTCTGATATCGAAAAAAATGGATCAAAGAATTTTATGTAAAAAATGGGAATTAGGTGCTCAAAAACACTTAAAATATTGACAGTGGCATACGGTGATTGTACTCTGAGCCAGAAAAATGTGCTACAAGTGGTACATACTTTTCAGAAAAGGTTGACAATTTGTGAATGCCCCAGAACATCAACAACAGATGAAAATTTTGATAAACTGAAGAAAATTGTTACCGAGAATAGTCGAATCACTATTAGAGAAGTTGCTAAGGATATCAGCATATCGATTGACTCATGCCATGCAATTTTTTCGGAAATTTTAGACATGAAATGTAGCGAGGTTCGTTAAAAAATTGCAGAACTTTGGCCAATTG